AGACTGCCAGGGGTCTGTTGGTAATCCCCTTTATGTGTGCTGGGAGGCAGTTGAACAGTCTCGGGCCCCTGACACTTATTGTATGGTCTCTTAACGTGCTAGTGACACCCCTGCTTTTCATTGGGGGGATGGTGCATCGTCTGCCAAGTCTTTTGCTTTCGTAGTGAGTGATTTTCGTGTGCAAGTTCGGTACTAGTCCCTCTAGGATTTTCCAGGTGTATATAATCATGTATCTCTCCCTCCTGCGTTCCAGGGAATACAGGTTTAGAAACCTCAAGCACTCCCAGTAATTGAGGTGTTTTATCTCCGTTATGCGCGCCGTGAAAGTTCTCTGTACATTTTCTAGGTCGGCAATTTCACCTGCCTTGAAAGGTGCTGTTAGAGTGCAGCAATATTCCAGCCTAGATAGAACAAGTGACCTGAAGAGTGTCATCATGGGCTTGGCCTCCCTAGTTTTGAAGGTTCTCATTATCCATCCCGTCATTTTTCTAGCAGATGCGATTGATACAATGTTATGGTCCTTGAAGGTGAGATCCTCCGACATAATCACTCCCAGGTCTTTGACGTTGGTGTTTCGCTCTATTTTGTGGCCAGAATTTGTTTTGTACTCTGATGAAGATTTAATTTCCTCATGTTTACCATATGTATATATATTATAAAACAATCGTAATAAACATTTGTTTACATTGTTTGTTTGTGTAAACAAGTTTTAGCAACATTATAATGATACGAGTGTTTTTGCTATAATTGTGTTACATTCAACGAGTGTATATTTGAACATTGCACAATAATTTGGTCTCACGGGCCACAAAAGTTATGTGAAAAAATAAAATAGTGAAAAAAACAAGAAACCATCGAATACAAGTAAATCAAAGTTTACCGGGTGAGCGGCAGTCGCCGCTGTTGCCGCTCGCAGATCAATTTCAGCAAACTTCAGGACTCTATATCTCGGTAAGTACTGATGGGAAATTTTTTGGGGGGGACTAAAACAATCAGAAAAATAATCTTAACATTTTCATAAGAAAAAATATTTTTTTTTTTTTGAATATTTTGCGACACCAGGAGACACTTCAGGATTGGGCCTTTCGACAGTCAAAGGGTTAAGGTAAGTAATGAGTGAACTGTATATGTATTTTATTGCTCTGGGACGCTTAAATGTCGTAAAATATTAAGTTTGGGTGGGTGGCCTGGTATGGTAGCCTGGCTGGCTACCATAAATACCACACTTGATTTCTTACAATAAATACTACTCATCTCATCCTAGATTAAGACTATAAATATTGTAAGGTAAGTAATGAGTGTACTATATGTGTATTTTACCTTTTTATTGTTTTTTTTAATGCCTAGTTCTATTGATAACTTAATATATGTTAGTGTAAACTTGTTTTCTAGTATTTATATGCATTGATAAGTGGAAAAAAAGGTGTTCCACTTTACGGCGATTTCCACTTTATGGCAGTAGCCTGGAACCTAACCTGCCGTATAAGTGGGGCCCTACTGTACAGGCTTCCTTTTTACACTCACTTGGTAGGATGATAGTACCTTCCCGAATGGTTGCTGTCTGCCAACCTACTACCTATACCTATACCTATACCTTAAATGTACATGTTTTTATATATGTAGGCATGTGTATGTACAGCCTCTCCTCACTTAACAATGGAGTTCCACTCCTAAGATCACATCGTTAAATGAATTCATCACTAAGTGAGGAACGTACTATAATGGTAGTGAGTTTGTGTCAACCATCTCTGGTGTTGTTTTAACCCTTTGACTGTCGCAAGCCCCTTTCTAAAACTGTCATTCTATGTCGCAAAATTTCTGGAAAAAAAAAAAAAAAATTTTCTTATGAAATGATAGAGAATCTTTTCCCGATTGTAATGACACCAAAAGTATGAAATTTGGTTGAAAACTCACGGAATTACGCTCCCGCGAGATTAGCGGTCTCGGCGACATATACGCATCGGCGATTTCGCTGACTTTGAGCCCTGTTTTTGGCCAATTCCATTGTTCCAGTTGACCAAACTCATAGCTATTTCTTTAGTACTCCATTTTTTCTATCAAGTGAGTACAAGAAACTGCCCATTTACCGATCTGTACTACCCAATAAAATGGTCCGAAATTGGCAATTTGGCCAATTTCATGCAAATTAAAAAAGATGCCAATTTCAAAATAGGGTCCAGAACAAACACTGTAGACATTCTTGGCACTAAAATAACATATCCTCTGTTCATCAGTCACGTCTCTAGGCCCCTCTTATATTACTATTGCTTTCTATTTCGATTTTTAATTCATATAAAAAATACAAAATTTACTGTTATGCAGACTACTGCATTATTGTAAAAATGGTATAAATAACATCAGTGCACTAGTGAAAGAATATCAGACTCCCCAGTTGATGTGTATTGGACGTGTGGTGTGATTTGCTTACTCTTGAACATAGGTAAAAATCGAACATTTCTGCTACTTTGAGCTCAATTTCAAGGTTATTTTCATCGTGAAACTAATCAAAATCATCTCTATTTCTGCAATAGTGTTTTCCATTTTATCAAGTGAGACCATGAAAATGAGAATACAATGATAAATACTATACGAAAATACACCTCAAAGTCGGCATTTTAATCCAAAAAAATGGTCAGTTTTTTTTTCTCATTATGCACGCCGTGCTACAGGATTTTTTTTATGTGGTGCACACTGACCACACAGACCCATTCTCTCACATGTGGGCCTACCAGCTTTCTCCTGCTTGATTTGAAACAGCTAGAATTATTGAGTATATATATGTCCGAAACACTGGCTCGTAAGACGTATATATACGACCAAAACAGTTGAAGGGTTAATGTCACCTTTGCATCATTTATAACATTTCTGGTACATTTTTAAATGTTTATACAGTACTGTACTGTATACTGAAATAAACAGAATAGAGGAAATCAGCTCTAATATACATTATTTATGTATGAATACTGGTCAGGAACCCCGTCATAAGTCCAAGGCTTCGGTAAACGAGTACATAGCTAAGTGAGGAAAGGCTGTATTCTACAGCAGAGCTATTACTGCACATGCAGTAAGTCCTCACTTAACATCGTTTTGTTCTATGCTGTTTTGTTATAACAATAATGAGAAAACAATTGATTCCTGGCCAAGGCCACTGTCTGTGTAGAGTTTGCATGTTCATTTTTGAACTGTGTGGTAGTAGGAGGTGCTCCTTAATCTTCAGTTTGCAAACATTTATTCCTTGATTTAACACTGTTGCAATGAGTGCTAAAGGTGCACCATGCACCCCTGAAGTAAATATCAATTAGCGTATGATAAAATTGGTCTCATTATATGTTGTTCTGCTTAAAGTTGCAGTTTCCAAGATGACACTAAGTGAGGACTTACTCTATAGTTCAGTATATGCACATACATCAGAGATGCAGTCAAGACCAAACATATCAAGAGCAAGACAGAGACTAAACATACCGAGACTAAAAGTACCAAGACCAAACGTAATGAGATCGAGACCAGGATCAGGCTATGATGATGATTAAGACCAATACAGGTACTGTACTCCTCACTTAACACTCAAGTTCCGTTCCTAAGAGTAGGCCAGTAAGCGAACTGGTTGTTAAGCAAGGAGTCACCCTTTACTGACATTTCAAGCATACTGTACTGGTAGTGGGCTTGTGTCAACCATCTTTAGATACTGTTTTAAAAATAGAACTAGGCATTAAAAACAATAAAAAAGTAAAATTCACATCCAGTACACTGGTTGGAGAGTTGGTCATAAGTCTGAGTGGTCGTTAAACAGGCAGGTTTAAGTGAGGAGTACCTGTATAAAAACTGTGCAATAACATGAAAATATAGAATCTAACATTTTGCTCAGAAGCAGGTACCCATTGTTATTGGGGCACTTAAGTGTTAATTAGTAAATTTTGTTAAGTAGGAATATTGGTTTCTGTGCAACAACTAGTGAATACATCTTCTAACTGGCTTTAAACTTTTAAAGCTGATGTATCTTACTTAGAAGAAACCTCAAACTTCTTTGGGGCTGTATAGTGCCAATTGGCTATTTTTGAAGAAACTGGGATAGATATATGCAATAACTACTGAATGCTTTCTCTGATGAGCCTCAAATCATCAACGTTGATATTTAACTTCATTAGAAACTTATGCTGCACTCTGTACCATTCTTTTTGAGTGAACTGAGGTAGAGAGAGCTTTGTTTATGAGATACAGTAGGTCCTCAAATAATGTTGTTTTATTCAACGTCTATTCATTATAAAGTTGGTGGGGAAAAAATTAATTTCTGGCCAGGGCCACTATCTTTGTGGAGACAGTAAAATAAAAATTTGTAAAGTATATGATAATCATACAAGTGCACAACAATAAACAATGCCATACTAAAGTGCTCATCGAGCCTGCCATATCTGTTATTGTTTGATTTTGAACTACATGATGGTAGGAGGTGCTCCTTAATATTTTTCCTTTACCAACATTTATTCCTTGATTTAACTCTGTTGTAATGAGTATTAAAGGTGCACTGTGCACCCCTGATGTCCGTGGCTACAAATAAAACAGAGAAGTGTGACATTAGAAACAAAACTAGAAGTTTTAAAGAGATTTGACGATGAAAAGTGAGGTGTGGTTTTGTTATATGTCATTTCACTTAGAGTCACAATTTCCAAGACCCTATCAACGATGTTAAGTGAGGACTTACTCTGTGTGGGGTACATCTTTCTTGAACTGGGCAAAGAACAAAACAAGTCTAGCTCAAAACAGAACACTGCAGATAAATTAAGGTGAATAAATTAAGAAAACTGACTGAGGCAGAAGAGAGGCTGAATAGAAAAGATGTAGATCAGGCAGAGTAGGGAAGGTATCTCAGAAAAATGGGAAGACTAGCTCAGGTAGAGGGGAATGATAAACTGTGCAAAGAAAGGAAAGTAACTTACAAACAAGTGCTGTTAAAAAAAAAGAGTGAAACGATTGAAATACATAAAAAGTTAATATTAACTTACACTGTTCTCACTTTGAGGGTAACTGAAGCTCACTTCATCCATGGCCTTTGGATGTTGCGACTTACGAGTGTTGATCCAATAACTATTGTTGCTGCCTTCAGCTTCTGGTGCTGGGTTATAGCTGCACGTTGTACTATAAGTGGTTGAAGTAATATGTTGAAATGGCAAGTTATGCTCAGAAGTAGATAAAATATGAAGGTGAGAGACTGGTAGAGTATGTTTTTCAGAACCTGAGGAAGAGCACTGCTCCTGCACAAGTGACAGATTTTCAGGGCTGGAGAATTGATCTTGTGTGAGGTAAGATAATGTTGGGTTGGTTGTGCAAGGAACAGTATATTGTAATTCATGACTAGGCACTGCATTTTCAGTGGTACACTTAACTGCATATTGTTCTCCAAGTTCTGATTTAACTTCTGCTGCACTATCATAATTTACAGGAACATTTGTATTTGAATATAACACAGATGACACTGGTTGCACAGGCACACTAATATCTGAAGCCTTAAGAAGTGTATATCTATCCTGAGGGGAAGTCTGTGATTTATCAATGATACATGGAATAGAATGGCCTTGAGAATGAGTAGATAGAGATCCAACTCCATTGGCTGCAGTACTATACAATGGCTTTGAAGATGATGCATAATTAGCAGGTGCAGAATAATAAGGGTCAGAATGCGAAGATCCAAGCTCCCGTGATACATCAGAAGTAAGACAACGTTGCTGCATCGATGAAACAGAATCATCTGTCGTGTCTCGGGATTCAAAATGATGCTCGCTCACAAAGCCAACATTAGATCCATGACAAGGTTTATCTTCAAGCTGAAGGCTACAGGCTGATGCAGCTAATGAGTTATTACATTCTTCTTGCAGAGTATCTTTAGATTCATTTGCAGATGAATCACCCTCATCTTCAACAATAGATGAAGAGTCATCTCTATCAAGAGAAGCATGCTCTTGAGGATGGTGGTGGTATGTACTTGATACAACAGAACTACTGAATTGGTCATTATGCACAGAATTAAGTGTAGTGTTAGTCTCAATCTGTTCACCACTGGATGACAAGTGCTCTTTGGACTTTCCTTCTGAAGCACAATCATCAGGGAAAGAATATGAAGAACACTGCTCCTGTGATGAAACACAAGGTTCATTAGAAGCAGCACTGGATGGTTGAAGGTGTATCTGGGATTTAGAAGATTCATTCATAATCATTTTGTTGTAATTTTGTTGAGTGGCAATGGAACTAGACTGATCTGAAGTTTCCTGAGGGACAGCCAGTGTTCTTGGTGTAGCTACCTCAAGTTGGGAATACGACGAATCTTTACTGCAATCATAAATGGTTGCAGTGTCATTTTGTGGTGATGTAATACGTTCACTAATTGTATCAGGTGATGTGGAGTCTTGCTCTACAACAGGTGAAAGCTCATTAATGTCCTCAGTTGGTGATCCAGACTCAGAAAGTGATGAGGACTCAAACTGAGTCTCTGGGCCAGTTTCTGTTTTTGGACTGATCAGAGAAAAATGTTTCGAAGACGTTAACAGTTTCCCTGATAACTGAGTACCAATTTCAATATAAATATTACTTACAGAAGTATCAGACTTTTGTCCACAGAATGGAACATAATTACAAGCAGCATTAGCAGATGACAAAGGTATTTGAGAAATCATGTTTTTACCATCTACTCCAGATATGGCTGTTTGATGTGAAGATGACTGCAGTTGCTGAATAGGAATAGTTTTGTGGGTAAGGCTAGAAGTTGTTGCCTGAAGCTCAGGTATTGACATAGAATTTTGTACTGAAATATCCACAGATTGTAATGGTTTCTTGGGCAAGATCTTATAATTGGCTGTAGATGTGATATGCTTCAAATTCTCTAATCTGATTGCCTGAATGTCAGAGTTTGATGACGTGGTTGGTAACAGTGGACGTGGCAATATTTTGCGGCCTGGGGTTGGTGCAGTGGCATACAGAGGAACAGAAGAAGCTTTGTCACTGGATCTTGGAATGAAAATTTTCTTTTCACAAAGTTTTATATTATGCTCAACTGCATATGAAGTCACAGATCCTACCTTCAGAATAGGTCTATTTTTAAAGGTTGAATGAGATCCTGAATTCTGGCGTAATTTTCTCAATTTATTTTTTGCAACTGTGTTATTAGTCTTAATTGGTTGTATTGGCATTTTCAATTGAGTTTTACCTTGTGCTATACAATGCATGGGAGGTGCCAGCTGCATCTGTTGTTGAATATGCACAGCAGCTTGGTTCTGACTTGAAGAAGCAATGGATTGAAATTCCATACTCTGACTTGAATCATTATGATGAATGGATTGTAGCTGCTGATGAAGGGGCATGTTTTGGTTGGCCGTTGAAGTAACAGGCTGTATGTACTGGAGAGGTGTCTGATGTGTTGTGGCAGATGGTAAAGACGTTTGAAGTTGTTGGAGGGGAAGGTTGGTCTGTACATTACTCTGGTTCACTGTTTGCAACTGCTGGATAGAAAGATTTTGATGTCCACCTGCTTGAGGTATTGACTGGAGCTGCTGCAAAGATGAAGCATGCTGTGAAATGCCAGGATTTACAGATTTTAACTGATGCAAGGGCACAGCTTGTTGATTACTGCCATGAGGAAGAGTCTGTATTTGCTGCAGAGGCACAGATGAGTGACTGTTATTGTACTGTTGAATGGGCAAAATTTGTTGTGCAGAAGCAGGTGACATGGACTGTAGCTGCTGAAGAGATATACCTTGCTGTGGACAAGCAGGCTGGATAGTTTGCATCTGCTGTAGAGACCCTGTCTGCTGTTGACTGACTGGAACTATAGTGCGTAACTGTTGAAGAGAGACTGCTTGTTCTGTGCTTCCTGCAGTAATGGATTGGACTTGTTGGATTGGTGTAACCTGACAATTATTTACAGAAGGAATTGCTTGGATTTGTTGCATGGGCAAAATTTGATGTGAATTTCCTGGTGAAACTGTTTGCAGTTGCTGCACTGATATATTCTGAGGTGAGCTTCTGGTTGTTATGGTTTGTAAATTCTGTAGATGCATATTTTGTTGAGAACTTCCAGAAGTTAAAGTTTGCAAAGGGTGAAGAGGCATATGCCGTTGTGGATTTCCAGATTGTATGCCTGATACTTGATGCACGTGGATAGCTTGTTGTGGATTTGCAGCTGGTATAGTTGACACCTGGTGCACTGGAATAGTTTGCTGAGAGTTTCCAGATGGTATTGTCGATACTTGATGCACCGGGATAGTTTGTTGTGAATTTGCAGATGGTATGGTTGATACTTGATGTACTGGGATAGTTTGTGAATTTCCAGAGGGTACTGTTGGTACTTGGTGCACCGAGGTAGACTGCTGCGAGTTTCCAGATGGCAAAGCATGTATCTGCTGTATAGGCATGGTCTGGTGAGAGTTTCCACTTTGTAGTGTTTGAAACTGTTGCACAGGCAGATGTTGATGAGAGCTCACAGATGGTATAGCTGGCAGTGGTTGAAGGGAAAGTGACTGATGTGTGGTTACTGATGCACCATTTTGCAAAGAATGAAGTGCTACATTTTGTTGAGAATTTCCTGTATTTAGAGTCTGAATCTGCTGGACAGGAATATTCTGTGATGTAGAGACTGAAGAAATATTTTGCATCTGATGAATATTCAGGGTTTGCTGTGAGCTAGAAGTTGAGATAGACTGTACCTGCTGGAGAGGAACAGTCTGATGCATGCTGACAGGGGTGATGCTCTGAAGGTGCTGAAGTGATAAAGATTGTTGCTGAGGATGAATAACCATTCCAGAAGATGGTCGGATGGGTGGCTGCTGTGGACGTGGAAGAAGCTTACGTCCATGACTTGAATGGGTCAATTGTTTTTGTGGAATCTGTCCGATGTTTGTACCATCAGAAGAGGTAGAGTGAACAAGAGGAGTGGAGATAGTCAAGGAATTAGAGACAGCTGGAACTGATTTCAGCTGTGGTATAGGAACAGGCTTATTAATTGTAGCAGCAGCTGACTTCTGAGGAGTAATAACAATAGTTTTCTGACTATGGCCTGATCCTGTAGATTTAAGCTGTGGGACAGAAAGAGCAGCATGATTTGTATTTGTCAAAGGAGATTGCAACTGGTGTATGGGCATAATATTGCAGTTACTTGCTGGACTAATAGACTGAATTTGATTAAGAGGTATAGTTTGATGTGCAGTGGATGTATTAACAGAATGAAGTTGTTGTAAGGATACAGCCTGGCTCTGTGCTCGGATTAAGGGAGTCGCATTGTGTGGTCTGGGTAAAATTTTACGCCCAATTCCTGCAGTATTGGCTGTTACTTGAGGTAAAGCAGCTGTGCTAAGAGAAATGTTTTGAGTGCCAGATGACTGCTGCTCTGGTACTGGCTCAGGCAACTGTTTTGGAGGGCACTGTGGAGTAGGTTGCAAATGAGAAATAGGCAAGGGAGCACTGGTAATATTTAGGTTAGAAACTTGTATCTGTGGCCTAGGTAGAATCTTTCTAGTTGGCCCAATAGTGCTTGATTTAGGTTTCCTGCGTCTTCGGCTTCGACTGCGTGCAGGCACAATTCGGAATGTAACTGGTTGGATGGCAAACAGGCCAACATCTGCTACTACCTTTTCAACCTCTTCTTCATCTTTTGGCTGTGTAAAGAAAAAAATATTTAATTAATACTGTACATACAGTACATATAATAAATTACGCATGAGCATTTTAAATACATTCACAAACACAAATGATTTACAAGCTTAAATAAACAGTTTTACATAATGTATGAAGAATGAAAATATGTGATTTATCAAATTCTTGTAAAATGTCCTGTAGACTGATGTAAACATATGAAAAACTCACCATCTTTCCTACATGAGCCTTATGTCAACACGAAAGTTAATGATAACACTAAACACTTGCTGATGTGTACACGAAAGTTAATGATAACACTAAACACTTGCTGATGTGTACACAGTCATCTGAGTGACAATGAGTAATGTTGCACTCAGCTCTTAATTACAATGGCTATTGGCACTAACTAACAAAAGTGCAAATTTCTCTTAATCCCAGCATCACATAATTAAATAAAATTTTATTTTTTTATTCACACACTGGCCAATTCCCACCAAGGATACTTTACACTACAGTTTTTAAACTGCGACATTAACACCCCTCCTTCAGAGTGCAGACACTGTACTTCCCATCTCCAGGACTCAAGTCCGGCCTGCTGGTTTCCCTGAATTCCTTCATAAATGTTACTTTGCTCACACTCCAACAGCACGTCAAGTATTAAAAACCATTTGTCTCCATTCACTCCTATCAAACATGCTCACGCATGCCCGCTGGAAGTCCAAGCCCCTCGCACACAAAACCTCCTTTACCCCGTCCCTCCAACCTTTCCTAGGCCGACCCCTACCCCGCCTTCCTTCCACTACAGACTGATACACTCCTGAAGTCATTCTGTTTCGCTCCATTCCCTCTACATGTCCGAACCACCTCAACAATTATTCGAAAGCAAGGAAAGTCATAACAATATCTTACAACAGAATGAATACACTTCTAATATTTATTATCAGTTACAATCTTTTATATATGAAACTTCTGTGGAGTTTTAATTAAGAAAACATTATAAATGAGACAACTGTATTTTTTTTTTTGTTCACCATATCTGACATTATCTGCTGGGATCATTACACTCTCTGCCTGATCTCAGACCTAGCCTCATAAATTTGAGAGGAAGTATTACAAGAAGAAGAACTACAATATTAACCCTTCACTGTCCAGACCCCTGATCTGAAACTTGTCCACTGGCCAAGAATTTAAAAAAAAAAAAAAAAAAAAAAATGATTTTTCTTCTAATATGGTAGAGAATCTTCTTCTGAAGGTAATAAAACAAAAAGTACGAAATCTGAAGGAAAACTGACAAAGTTAAGCTTTCACAAATTTTGTGTATCTGTGATATTTACACAGTGGCGACTTTGCCCAATATGAGTCCTATTTTAGGCCAATTACATTGTTCCAGTCAACCAAATTCTTAGCTATTTCACTAGTATGTTTTCCATTTTACTGATTGAGAATAAGAAATCGCCCAATCATCTATGTCAACTACCCAATGAAGTGATCAGAAATTGGTAATTTGGCCAATTTCACACAAATTTCAAAATAGGCTCCAGAAAAAAACAATGCAGGCATTCCTGGCACTAAAATAAAAAATTTTCTGTTCATCAGTTATATTTCCAGGCTTTACACATGAATTCCATTTTGATTTTTAATTCACACAGTTTTTTATTTACACAAAAAATAAAAGATTTACTATTATGCAATATTGTAATAATTGTATAAATAATATCAGCTCAATCGCTACAACACTCAGCTTACACACCGAGGTCCAGAGATCGAATCTCCAGTACGGCTGGAAAACATTAGGACGTGTTTTCCTTAAGACACCTGCTGTCCATGTTCACCCATTAGTATAATGGGTACCTGGGTGTTAGTCGACTGGTGTGGGTCACATCCTGGGACAAAACTGGCGTAATTTGCCCGAAATGCTCTGCATAATAAGCTGCTTTCTATATGGTAGTATGTCACTGATGTCAATAGGCCTGTATACCTCATACACGTACTTGTAGAAATAAAGATATTATTACAGTGATACCTCTCATATCTGAACTATGTTGGCTGAGACCAGTTCGGAAACACGGAGCTTCCAGATACGTGAGGGAAAAATATGCGCATCCGTACCATCACATCGCCATCCATACTCCGTCATACTGCCATCGGCAATGGCGTTGTAGGTTTAAAAAATGAGTCCAATGTCGTCTGGCGGTGGGACCAGACACTCTGGGCTCGAATAACAGCCTCCCATATTTCATGGACCACAGGACTATAATTTATCAAATGGGCTATAGACAGTGACGCTTCAAATACTCCAAAAGTGTTTCAACATCTGCCCTTGCTGCTGAAGTTTTTGGTCTTGGAGGCAATGGGTTCGTCATTGTCATCACTTTCGGAATGTTCCAGGTGCAACACTGATTCTGCCATCTCTGCATCCATCAGAGATTGCAGCTATTGCAGCCATTCTGCAGTCCCTTTTAAGTTTGGCACCACAAACCATCATATCACTACCACGTTGTTGTAGGTACCACTTCATCGTGCACTGATCGAGTTCCAAGCTCTGTGGCTTTGCCAATACTTTTCTTTCAGCACTTTTTCCAGTTTTTGAGGCAGCAGAAAACTCACTTGTGTAGGCCATAATCTTATCGCGAGCCTTCTTGATTTCACAGACGATCGACTTTGCCAAATTATATTCAGCCATAAGTCGCGTGTTGGACCAACCTGCATCCATGTGCGACAATATTTCCCTCCTTTTTTCTAGAGTAAGCACATTCCTGTTCTTCTTTGGTGCCATATACAAGATAGCTAGTACAAAACGCAGCAGTAACAATGCTAAAAGGAAGAGTGGAACCCCCACAAAGGCCACAAACTCACTTCCTGACTGCACTGCCATTATGCGCACCTGTTCAGTAAGGACCAATAATGGGACTGAGAACAGTGGGTAGCAGGGGTGGTGAAGAGAGCGGCTCCTAGTGGCCAATCGGTACACTAAAGTGCGCATCAAGTTTGATTCAGCCTCCTGCCATATCCGAATGGCTGTTCGGATTTTTCAGTAATAATTTTAGAATTTTGCCCTTTCTCAGGGCCTGTTCAGATATTGGTGAGGTTCAGATAATGTCAGGCCAGACATGCGAGGTATCACTGTATTATTATTATTATTACATTCGTGAACAGATATTACACCCACCAGTTGGACGTGTATTGGAAGAGTGATGTGATTTGTTTACTCTTGAATATCAGCTAAAATCGAACATTTCTGCTACTTTGAGCTCAGTTTCTGTAATATATTTTCTATTCCTTCAAATGAGACCAAGAAATCGAGAATACAACCACAAAAACCATATGAAAATACACCCCAAAGTCGCTGTTTTAAACCGAAAACACTGTCGCAGTTTTTTCTCATTATGCACTGTGTGGTGCAGGATTTTTTTTATATGGTGCACACTGTAGGAAGAAGTTCATAGCTAGTATAAGGAAATTTATAGTATCAGTATTCACTGCGGCTTTAGTTAAGGTAGGGTAACTCACGCTCCCGTTTTTCCCGCCTTTTCTCACCTACAGCCTGAATTGATAGTTGTCTGCCGACTACTTGTTAAGGTAAGGTCAGTCTAAGCTCGCTATCCCATTCGCCCCGTCTTCTATTTCCCCCCCCCGAATGACTGTGGGGCTCTGGTTAAACATAAATCAAAGACTCCAGCTCCAACCTGATGAAATACTTAGCCTAGCCTTGATTTACTTGGATTTATGATGAAAGTCACTTGACCACTGAATGAAACTTGAGTCCTTTCGTCTTGCTCAGTTGACTGTTTAATAATACAGTCTTTTGAATATGTGAACTCTACATGAAGAGTGATTATTTAAGCAGTGGTACCTGTCTATTTTCAGTTGGATTCAGAGAGGCACTGGCAAATTCACGAGTAGACAGGAGAAGGACTAACGTCAGAGACTCTCATTGTATTGAACTACTGTGCACCTGTATGAAAGTGCAGACGTAACTCCACATATTGCAGGGTAAAGACCGCTTTCTGTCTCGAATGAATCACGGCATGTCCTGTGGAAGTACTAGCCCATGGATGGTCACAAACACTGCGACTCTTCCTCTCCCCTTATCATCAGCACGCTATCGGTTTCAACAACATGCACCAACACCAGACAGCCATTGTAGCTAATTCTTGATCAAATGTTATTAGCCATTCATTTCTTCATTTTTGCTTTCAAATAGGATATACCTATCATGTTTTGTTGTTTTAAGTGATAATAAATAGTTCTATCTTTGAATTATTATTTCTTCTTTCTATTCAATAATTTTCCTGAGGACGGCAGCCTGAGTAATTACTTCTGAAGTTATTGTACAGGGCTGAGTAAGCCTTCACACACACTTACTGCATAGACCCATTCTCTCATATCTAGGCCCAAATTTACTGCTCACAGCTTATCTGAGCTGAGCTCATGCTGTAGTACTACGGTATACCCAGTGACCTCAAAGCCATACTACTACAGCACAGCCAGTGAAGTGATTAAGAAACACACAGGAAAGTAAAGATAAGTGTATGCTGAATGTAAGGAAAGTTTCAATAATTTACCATCTTAGGCCTTTTATGAGACAAAATAAAAGACCAGCAACCTGAGTGCAAAATATTTAACAGGCTTCCAATTTACTTATATGACTGGAAAGTAGTATGTCCCTGGATGGTTGATGTCTACCAATCTCATACCAATATTTAATTTAAATTCTTAAATTGTGCAACTTCGTTCTAAAATTATAAAATTACTGTATTTTTAGTTACAGAATGCAACTAAACTTTGCACAATGACAAAAGCCACAGAAATGACATTTATACAGGAACCCATATTGGTACAGATTTGTCTAATGAATATGTTAATGTCGCTTGGAAGTCACTGCATCCCTTATCACAGGAAACCATACCACTTTTCAGTTCATTTATAGCTAGCATTCCTTATCACAGGAAGCCATACCACTTTTCAGTTCATTTATAGCTGTGTTTAACAAATCAACATATGCAATGTTTTGGAAGAAATAACAATATTCATTCTACTAAAAATCTTTATATCCAATAAATATTTCCTTACTGCAACCATTAGTATTTTCTTGAAGTTTATTGTGAAAATTTGTACCAGCATGTAAAAAGCAACTTACCAATATAACATCATCATCCCTCTCTTCCAGTTTTACCCGACATACCTGGAAAAGAGAAAAATTAGCATGGCAAGTAATATAAAAGGCATCTCAAGCATTCATAAATTAGCTTCAGTGCAATTTATCCACTGAATAAGAATTTACTTATACTTTGGATAACTGAATCTATTTGTGCACTGCCCATCAATAAAAATATTGGATAACTGAAGCCAACCAACATGGAAGCCCATGAATTTGTGGGATGACTGCATAATGTTACGTGCTCACAAACATTGTTGAGAAGATGGTCACTGTGTATATCTTTACCCCATATTTCTTGGATTTATTATTCATGTATATGACCCTAGTAGGTTTAGTGCTTTGTTTTGATTATAATAATAATAATTATTCATCTATTGCCCAAATTAATATTTTTCCCCTAAAAGAATAATATTTCATCTATACTAGCACTCACCATTATAGAATAATTTTCAAAACATCCAATAAAAACTTTAAAAAAAAATTATTTAATGAGAGCAGCTTTGTAATGAGCAGTTAGTATGAGTGCCTGTCATCAAATCATATGATGGCCAGAAGAATCTGAAATGACATACAGACATGCCCTTTTTTTTTTAGCATGATGACTGTCTCCCACGAAGGTACGGTGACTAGTAAAAAGAAGAAAAAAAGTTTTTCTTCTTTTTACATTTAATAATTAATACAGGAGAAGGGATTACTAGCTCCTTGCCCCCGGCATTTTAGTCACCTCTTACGGCACACATGGCTTATAGAGGAAGGATTCTTCTTCACTTTCCCATGGAGATATGGTCTTTCTGAACTAATAAATACTATTACCATCATGTCACAAATCATCCAATTTCAGTGTTGCTGCCAAGGATCACTTCAAACATCACAAGTCTAATAAATAATTTTATTTCATGTATCAGTGTTTTTTGCTTTACTTTTGTGCATGCTTTTTCTTTATGCTCATTGAGGTACCTGTCCGTGTATTCCAATACAATATCAATCATGTCTGAATTGATAGAAGCAAACATTCCAAAGATATTTTTGGAACCTTTGGATGCACTTCGTGGGTCTGATGACAGTGCATACATCATATGCATGAGTGTGAACATTAGTCGGTGGTACCCCAGTGCACACTTTAGTCCTTTACTTCACTATGATGATAGTTTTCCTGTAGATCATCATACACCTTCACTTGATTTTGTCTTCTTTATAATCATTAGGAGAATTTTTCATTCTAAGACAGTTGCTCTCCTTTTCACATGACATATGAATGTGAAAACAACTCTTCTACATACAAAAATGAAACAAAACCACTGTCTATTAGGATCAGGAGCACTTTTAGTTAACCCTTTGACTGTCGTAACCCCAAATCCTGAGGTGTCTCCTGGTGTCGAAAAATTTTGAAAAAAAAAAAAAAAAAAAAAAAAAAAAAAAATATTTTTTCTTATGAAACGATAGAGAATCTTTTCCCAATGGTAATGACACCAAAAGAATGAAATTTGATGGAAAACTTATGGAATTACACTCTCGTGAAGTTAGCGACCTCGGCAATATTTATGAATTGGCAATTTCGCCCACTTTGAGCCCTATTTTCGGCTAATTCCATTGTTCCAATTGACAAAATTCATAGCTATTTCTTTAGAACTCCATTTGTTCTATCGATTGAGTACAAGAAACTGCCCATTTACCGATTTCAACTACCCAATAATGTGGTCAGAAATTTGCACTTTGGCCAATTTCACGAAAATTATAAAATATGACAATTTCAAAATAGGGTCCAGAATGAACAATGCAGACATTCCTGGCTCTAAAATAACATTTTCTTTGTTCATCAGTCACATCTTCAGGCCCCTCTTGCTTTCTATTTTGAATTTTTAATCAAACAAAAAATAGAAGATTTACTGTTGTGCAGACTACTGCAATACTGTAATAATTGTATAAATAATGTCAACCAATTCATGACTGCATATCAGAATGGCTAGTTGTACATTTATTGGACAATGCTGTCATTTGTTTACTTTTGAACATCAGCAAAAATCAAACATTTCCCCAACTTTGAGCTACATTTCAAGGTTCATTTCATAGTACAACCAATTAAAATCACCTCTATTTCTATAATATGTTTTCCATTCTATCAAATGAGACCAAGAAAACGAGAACGCAACCATAAATACTATACAAAAATACACCACAAAGTCGGCATTTTAATTAAAAAACACGGTCAGAGTTTTTTCTCATTATGCACTGCGTGCTGCAGGACTTTTTTTATATGGTGCACACTGACCACACAGACCCATTCTCTCACATGTGGGCCTACCAGCTTGATTTGAAGCTGCAAGAATTTTTGAGTACGTATATACATATATGTCAAACACGGTGGCTCATAAGACGCATATATACGAACGAAACAGTCAAAGAGTTAAAGAATCTATTTTTGACATAAATAAGATACAGGTGTTTTAATTTTTTAAGTAACAAAAACCTTAAAATTTTGGTTAAACATTAGCATATACAGTGCCTTAGTTTAGCACCATGGGGCCTATGGGCTCCCATGTTGCTCTCTGTCAAACTGGACTATAAGCTAGAGAGATAAGTTTCACACACTGTGGGCAGCTATGCAGATACTAGAACAAGCACCACATTATTGATATCTAATGATGATACAAATCAAATCAAATCAAAGTTTATTCTCTATAAGGATTACAAGTATTGTTTACATTTTTTGTAGTCCTATAGGCCTTTCAAGGTATTAACAGCAGGTTAAAAAAAATCTCAAATACAGTATACCATTAAAATCAATAATAACAATGCTCACTGATTCATCAACATAAATGTATTCTGGTTCTTCTTTCACTTCCACCTTGATGTTAGAGTCGTCCTCGTAATCCGTAGCAGTGGGATCCATGATTCTCGTTATCTGGAGGAAAATTACTAAGCATTACACGTACTGCAATGAACTCGGAATTTTGAGTTAAGCATAAAAACGGAAACTGTACTGCCTTGAATATCATGTACAGTATACAGTATCATAGTGTTTTATATACAAACACAGTAATGTATACAAATTTAAGATTATTGGTAATTATCAAGAAAATCAAAATATAATTCTTAACCCGTAAACGGTCCAAATGTATATATATGTTCTCTCCCGTAGTGCCCCAACTTTTTTGAAAGAAAAAAAATCTTTTTTTTTTAATAGGAAAAAAGAGCATATGGTACCCAGGCATCCCCAACTATTTTAATATAGCGTACAGTGAGTGCACACACCCATTCTCTCATGTCTAGGTGACTCAGGCTTATCGTGGCAATGTTGAATGTACGTATGACAAATAAAACATATATGTATATACGTTTGGGGCACTAGCGGTAAAAACATATACATATATACATTTGGACCGTTTATGGGTTAATCTGAACTACAGTAGACCCTTAAATAACATGGTAGTTATGTTCCTGAAAATGGTGTGTTATGTAAAACTGTGTTAAGCAAATTGAAGAACATACAGAAAAAGTAGTTATGTGCTCAAGACATACAAAAAAATTTATTTCTTATTTCACCTTACACTGTAGATAGCACTGCATGTTTATCTAGAGATATACTATATATTATGTACCCAAATCCTAAATAAAAACTTAGTTACTGAATAAACTTACTTAATAACGCCTGGTGGAAGTTGGTGTATGACACTGGCATTTGACGCAGCATGCTGTCTATTCCTCCTAGAGAAAATGGGCATGGCATTCCGTGCAGAGAAAACAGAAAGCTAATATGCTACCGTTAACTATTATAAATTTAATATCAGTATAAAAAATGCAAAAAAAAAAAAAAAAAAAAAATATTTACCCCACCTTAAATTCTTTGTTTCTCTTGCTTGTTAATGTAATAGCATCATGGTAGCCATGTACTGTACATCAAGACCCCCGTATCCACAGGGGATATGTTCTAAGGACCTGCTGCAGATACCAAAACCACGGATAACAGCAAACCCTATATATACAGTCTCTCCTCACTTAACGACGGAGTTCCATTCTTAAGACCACATCTGTAAACGAATTCATCGCTAAGTGAGGAGCATACCATAATGGTAGTGGGTATGTGTCAACCATCTTTGGTATTATTTTAATGTCACCTTTGCACCATTTATAACATTTCTGGTATATTTTTAAATGCTTATACAGTAGTGTACTGTATATTATAATAAACAGAATAGAAGAAATCAGCCCTTACATACATTATTTAGGAATGCATACTGGTCAGTGAGCCCTTTGTAAGTCCGAGTCATTGGTAAAAGAGGAGAGGCTGTATATGTATGTATATATATAGGTGTGTGTTGTGTGTGGTGTGTGGGTTTGTGTTTGTGTGGTGTGTGTGTGTGTGTGTGTGTGTGTGTGTGTGTGTGTGTGTGTGTGTGTGTGTACTCACCTAGTTGAGGTTGCGGGGGTCGAGTCCGAGCTCCTGGCCCCGCCTCTTCATTGATCGCTACTAGGTCACTCTCCCTGAGCCGTGAGCTTTATCATACCTCTGCTTAAAGCTATGTATGGATCCTGCCTCCACTACATCGCTTCCCAAACTATTCCACTTACTGACTACTCTGTGACTGAAGAAATACTTCCTAACATCCCTATGATTCATCTGTGTCTTCAGCTTCCAACTGTGTCCCCTTGTTACTGTGTCCAATCTCTGGAACATCCTGTCTTTGTCCACCTTGTCAATTCCTCTCAGTATTTTGTATGTCGTTATCATGTCCCCCCTATCTCTCCTGTCCTCCAGTGTCGTCAGGTTGATTTCCCTTAACCTCTCCTCGTAGACATACCTCTTAGCTCTGGGACTAGTCTTGTTGCAAACCTTTGCACTTTCTCTAGTTTCTTTACGTGCTTGGCTAGGTGTGGGTTCCAAACTGGTGCCGCATACTCCAATATGGGCCTAACATACACGGTGTACAGGGTTCTGAATGATTCCTTATTAAGATGTCGGAATGCTGTTCTGAGGTTTGCTAGGCGCCCATATGCTGCAGCAGTTATTTGGTTGATGTGCGCTTCAGGAGATGTGCCTGGTGTTATACTCATCCCAAGATCTTTTTCCTTGAGTGAGGTTTGTAGTCTCTGGCCCCCTAGACTGTACTCCGTCTGCGGTTTCTTTTTGTGTGTGTGTGGTGTGTGTGTGTGTGTTACTCACCTAATTGTGGTTGCAGGGGTCGAGACACAGCTCCTGACCCCGCCTCTTCACTGATTGCTATTAGGTCCTCTCTCTCTCTGCCTCCAGAGCTTTGTCATACCTCGTCTTAAAGCTATGTATGGTTCCTGCCTCCACTACATCACTTGTTAGGCTATTCCACTTCCTGACGACTCTATGACTGAAGAAATACTTCCTAACATCCCTATGACTCGTCTGAGTCTTCAGCTTCCAATTGTGACCCCTTGTTTCTGTGTCCCTCTCTGGAACAACCTGTCTCTGTCTACCTTATCTATTCCATGCAGTATTTTATATGTCATTAACATGTCTCCCCTGACAAGCCTGTCCTCCAATGTCGTCAGTCCAATTTCCCTCAACCTTTCTTCATAGGACATACCCCTGAGCTCCGGAGCTAGCCTTGTTGCAAACCTTTGCACTTTCTCTAATTTCTTGACGTGTTTGCCCAGGTGTGGGTTCCAAACTGGAGCTGCAGTATGGGCCTGATGTACACAGTGTACAGTGTCTTGAATGATTCCTTACTAAGGTATCAGAATGCTATTTCGGTTTCCCCAGGCCCTTGTGCAGAGTTTTCGGGTTGATGTGTGCCTCCGGAACATGCTCGGGTTTTAGGGTTCACCCCAAGATTTTTTCCCCTTAGGGGGTTTTTGCAGTCCTTGGCCCCTAGTCTATACTCTGTCTGGGTCTTCTTTGCTTTCTCCGTCTTCATGCTTTGCATTTGGCAGGGTTGAATTCAAGAAGCCGTTGTGGACCACGTGTCCACCCTGTCAGGTCTCTTGAAGTCCGCCGGTTCCTCTTCTGTTTAATTCCCCTCATTAACATCAATCATCTGCGAACGGGGGACCCCTCTGAGTCTATCCCTTCCATCATGTCATTCAATTACCAGAAATGCACTGGCCCTAGGACCACCCCTGGGGGAACCCCCTCGCACAGGTTGCCCCCACTTGATCCTTCATCCCGTAATGCCTTTTTGTCCCCTTGGGGGAAACTTGGGGGCCCCTTCCCTTTTAAAAATGCCCAAATTTCTTTTTTTGCATTCCCTTGTGTTAAGGCTTTTCGCCCAAAAAAAAAGAATCAAATTCCCCTGTTTTGAGAATGTTGCCCAAAAGTTTGGAAAAAATTTTGCCTTCCAGAACCATGCTGGTTATCGTTTATACAGTGGCCCCTTGTTTATCGCTTTAATTTCCGTTCGGGAAGTGTGACGTTTATCAAAATAGACGATTTTTCAAATAAATTTTCCCCCCATAAGAAATAAGTAAATACAATTATCTGTTCCTGACACCCCGAAGTATTAAAACAAAAAATTTTTTTTACATTAAAAATTTGTGAGTACATAAAAAATACAATGGGACATGATGAAAGAAACATTAAAAGCGTAACACTTACCTTTAAATTGGGGATTCTTTTTGTGTTGGAAGACTGGAGGGGAAGATTGGATTAGTTTTGTTTGGAAGGGAATCCCTTCCTAACACCTAGGTACCAAATCTTTTTCTGGGGGTACTTCTCTTCTTGTTTCTTTTTGCCCTGGACAGCTTGAGAGTCAGGAGTCCCGTCTCGCAAAAAAAATGTCCAGAAGCCTGTTTCTGGCTCTCTTTAAAAAATTTCCCCCAAAAAAAGGGGCCCAAACCTTTTTACTGTAAAGTTGCAATATGGCTTTTCAACATCCTTCTCAGGGGGATGTTTCCCAAAATTTTTTATCCTACCCCTTTCAAAAATCTATTGCAGGGAATTTCTTTTCAGATCGTCATGAACTGCCAAGCCTTTTCACAAATATCGACTTTAAGATATTCCGTAAATTTTTCTCGTTTATCCACACCAATAAAACTTCTCAAAATCTTCGGAAATGGTGATCTCATTTTTTTTCAGATATTTACCCCCTTTGCAACAACACTTCCCCTTTATTTCCTTTTTTTTTGGCCATGAGGAAGACATGGTTGTCGGGATTTGTTATAGTACATCCTGGCCAGTTCGGCCACACGTACGCCACTTTCATATTGTTCAAAGATGTTTTTCTTAAATTCAATTGTATTTGTCACCTTCTTTACCAAAGGCTCAGCGCTAGGAGCTTTCTTTGGAGCCATGGTAGCTTATTTAGCACTTGCAAGAACTAAAATAAATGGAATATTGTATTATGAAATATTTCGTATGAACAAGTGAGGGGACCGTTGCTCACTGGTAAACAATGGCACACTGGCTGGGAAGGGAGGCTGACATGGCTCAGAGCCGTGAGTACGCGTCCAGGACAAACGACGATTAGCGAGTCAACCGACCATTTGCGAGCCAATGTTTGGACGGAAATAACATGACGATTTCCGAAAAGGACGACTATTGAGCCCGACAATTATTGAGGGACCACTGTAATCTCGTTCCGTTCCAGGTGCTCCACCACTCTCCTCCCGATAATCTTCTCCATGACTTTCCATACTATACAGGTCAGTGACACTGGTCTGTAATTTAGTGCCTCTTTTCTGTCTCCTCTTTTAAAAATGGGAACTACATTTGTGGTCTTCCATACCTCAGGTAGTTGCCCAGTTTCATGGGATGTGTTGAAGATTGTGGTTAATGGCACACACAGTATATCTGCTCCCTCCCTGAGGACCCACGGGGAGATGTTGTCCAGTCTCATTGCCTTTGAGGTATCAAGGTTACTTAGCAGCTTCTTCACCTCCTCCTCAGTTGTGTGCATATCGTCCAGCACCTGTTGGTCTATTCCCTGTTGGTGTCCTCTGTCCTGTCTTCCCAGAGTCCTTCCTGTCTCCACTGTGAATACTTCCTTAAATCTCCTGTTGAGCTCCTCGCATACCTCTTGATCGTTTCTTGTGAGTTCCCCACCTTCTTTCCTCAGCCTGATCACCTGGTCTTTGACTGTTGTCTTTCTCCTAATGTGGCTAAACAGCAGTTTCGGGTCAGACTTGGCTTTTGATGCTATGTCATTTTCGTACTGTCTCTGGGCCTCCCTCCTTATCTGTGTATATTCGTTTCTGGCTCTTCAACTGATATCCTTGTTTTCCTGGGTCCTTTGCCTTCTATACCTCTTCCATTCTCTAATGCACTTAGTTTTTGCCTCCCTGTACCTTTGGGTAAACCAAGGACTCACTTTGGTCTTCCCATTGTTTCTGTTGCCCTTGGGAAGAAACCTTTCCTCTACCTCCTTGCATTTTGTTGTTACATACTCCATCATTTCATTTACTGTCTTTCCTACCATTTCACTGTCCCACTGCACCTCCCTCAGGAAATTCCTCCTACCTGTGTACTCTACTATGTAATCAAACCTCAGGACTACATGGTCACTAGCTCTGAGGGGCCTCTCATATGTGATGTCATCAACGTCTGAGCTACTCAGGGTGAACACAAGGTCCAGTCTTGCTGGTTCGTCCTCCCCTCGCTCTCTGGTAGTGTCCCTGATGTGTTGATGCACGAGGTTTTCCAGTATCACATCCATCATCTTGGCTCTCCATGTTTCGGGGCCACCATGAGGCTCCAGGTTTTCCCAATCGATCTCCCTGTGGTTGAAATCACCCATAACTAGTAACATTGCTCTGCACGTTTGAGCTCTTCATGCCACCTCAGCCAGTGTGTCCACCATCGCTCTGTTGTTCTCATCAT